ACCTCCCTCCTCCCCTCCTCTCCCCTCCCCTCCCCTCCCCTCCTCCTCTTGCACACAGCCCACCTCGTCTGAACACGAATCCATATGTATGGGGTTGAGGCGCACAGTGCTCGACGCAAATGTGCTGACTACATTACGCCCGGCTATATAAGATAGCCGGGCAACCATCCTATCCCCACAGACCGAGCCAGATCGGCGGGCCGTTCACAGACGGGCCACAAGGAGCTTGCGTCCCGATCAGCCGATACTCGTTTGCGGTGGAGCTATCACGTCCGAGAGATCGTTTTGGAGAAGAGTCGACTATTGTTGACATTTCCAGCGACGTGAGCAAGGGACTGCATCTGGGTTTCGAGAAGAAATTCACCTTACTGAAGATATCAGAGACGGCCTAATCATCAATACATGTGTTTCGAATTAAGAAAGAATATATCCCACAGAAAAGATATAAATCGAAGAGCTCTGGGCTCGATAATCGAAACAGTATTTCTGTTGGAAAGTCAAGAAGAATATTTTTCCCGGATCATCAGAGAAAAGGGAAGAAAAGGACGAGAAGGTTCTCTTTAATGAAGAAATTTGTGATTGTGCCGAAGGATGATCTTTGTCAGCACCACAACATGCTTTCTGCTCGCCGTTGTTTTGGTAGCCTTAGCCTTGATCATAGTAGACTATATTATGTCGAAAAAGACGCCGAAGAAACTATACGACGGCGAAGAGTCGTCCCTACAAGATCCACCTGGGCCGAGGCCATGGCCAATCCTGGGCTCCCTTCATATTTTGGGACGCTACGACGTGCCTTACAAGGCCTTCGGCGACCTCGTCAAGACTTACAACAGCCAGGTGATTAAGCTCAAGATGGGATCTGTACAGTGTGTCGTCGTCAATGGACTGGAGAACATCAAAGAGGTTTTGATCACCAAGGGCCATCACTTCGACTCCAGGCCGAACTTTATCAGATATCATCTTCTCTTCTGCGGCAACAAGGAGAACTGTAAGTATTTTTGTTATCGTTTCGTGCACTTAAAAATCGATACAAAATTAATTAATTCTATTCAAAGAAACTTTTAATATTACATTAATATATTAAAATTATGTTTAAAAAATTCTGAATGTTTAAACAAGAAAAAGAGATTAATATTACAAACAAAAGATTTATAACTGTAAGATTGTGGCGAATTCGAATTTCATATATTTGAAGCAGTTTTCTGGCCGATTTATCATTCTATTGATATTAACAATTAGTAAGCCAATAGAAATGAATTCAGCCAATTTGGTGGTTACTTAACACTTTTAGTTCAGATTGTTCGATCGAAACGCAGATCGATTACGCTCACACAACCGCAAACGAATCACTCTCTCAGCGGTTTGGGTCACGTTGCGAGCGTGTTCCTGTTCCCTGATCGCGCGTCCGGCAGGGAGATCAGAAATTCCGATCGATTGTGATTTACTGTCCACCGAATCGTGAATCATCGATGTAGCGTCGGCCGAAGGCCCCCGCGCGGCTTGTCAGCACCTCGTTTCAGGAGGAGCTCCTCGAAAAGTCGCTTCTCATGCTAACGACCTTGTCGTACGTCGCTTGCGCGCGCGCGCACGCAAAAACACGTGAGCGCACATACGCATGAATATACTCACGCGTACCTTACGCATAATACGTGATTTATCTGTCGCGCACGCATATTCCACGCTCGTCCGCGCCGAAACTCGTGCTAAGGTCAGCGGTAAGAAGCGGTACCAAGTGCAGGCGGAAAAGGTCACGGTACCACTTTCACGCGTTCCTGGCTCACCCGGCAGCCGGCAAACAGGATCAAGGCTGATCCACCAGAATCGCCGCCGCCGTGCCCCGCGATGCGAGACGATCGCGCTAACCCCTTCCCGTTCACAGGCCCGCACGTCGCGGTGAAATATTTTATTTTCGCGCATACGTCACGGGCACCGCCGACTCACAATACGATCTCCATGTTTCTTGTTTATTACAGAATGACTAGCTATTATTAGCCGACTCGATCCCACGATTTTTCTTCGTCACGGGCAATGAATTAACGATATTTTACAATTTTTCTCGATGCTCGCATATGATTCTATTTTAAATTAATTTGCGTTAAACATTTCCATATTTTACTTAATTGTTTTTTATTACGAAAATATATTTTCATATATTTTATATAAAATATTACGAAAATATATTTTTATATATTTTATATATTTTATAATTTTATATAAAATGTTGTAAATTAAAAAAGATTTCTTTCAAAGTGTTTTTATTCCGATCTGATGAGTTCGCCGAGTTGTCGCGAAAAAAAAACAGGTAATGGGAGAACAGGGTTGTGGAAAAATTGCTCTTCAGGTTCTCGGTTGCCCCGCATGCACGGCGAGAAACCGGGTCACTTCCTGCTACCGTCTCTTCTCCCGCTTCGATTTCATATCAAGTGCGCCGAACGGCGAATCCATTTTCTGCCTCTGCCGGGGAATTGATGCCGTCTAGCTGCACATTTCCGCGTTCGCGAAGGTGTGCGAAATAGAAAGGGAGCGTATGCGAATTTTTCTCTTGCTAAAAATGATGACGTTTTGAAACACGTTGTTACGCGCGCCGCAACGGTAACAAGGCCAAGTTCAACACCGCTGCCAGTTGTGCTGATTATTTTTTTCTCGATTCGGTAATTTGAGCCGCAGACGTACCATCGCAGAATATACCATCGCGACGCCACGACGTCAGCTACTTCTGTTGCAAGTTGCTATAGATTACGACACGACGGAAGCAAAATTAATTACTGCCGTATTGGAGAAATTGTTTTAAATATCATGTCTCTAAGTAAAAAGAAAAAGAAGAAAGATATTTATATATTTATATTTTTTCAAATATTGTTGAAGTATATTTTTTCAGTCAAACAAATTATAGGATACTAATTCTTAATGAAAATTTTAAAATTGTTTATTATTATTAACTGAATGTATGTTGGACTTTTAAGATAGGACGACAATTAAAATTCTCTTTTTTTTTTTTTAATGTATTTATAGCTCTGGCGTTCTGCAATTGGTCGGACATTCAGAAAACGCGAAGAGAGATGCTGCGAGGACACACGTTCCCGCGCGCTTTTACCACACGATACAACCAGTTGAACGGCATCATCGGCGGCGAGATGGATTGGCTGATCGACCACCTGACCAGCATCTCCGGTGTCAGCTTGCACGTCAAGCCATTGATCATGCACACGTGCGCGAATATCTTTATCAAGTATTTCTGCTCGCGGAGCTTCAGCCTCGACTATATTCCCTTCCGTGAGATGACCGAGAACTTCGACAAGGTGTTCTACGAGGTAAATCAAGGCTACGCCGCGGACTTTATGCCGTTTCTGATGCCATTGCACCAACGTAACATGACGAAAATGGCGAACTGGAGCCACGAGGTCAGGAAGTTCGTGGAGAAGAACATAATCGGCGATCGTGTGACTAGCTGGAGGTCGGTCATCCCCGAGGAGGACTACGTCGACTGCCTGATCAATCACATCAAGACCGACGCCGAGCCCAAGATGTCCTGGGAGATGGCGATGTTCGCGCTGGAAGACATCATTGGCGGTCACTCGGCGGTCGGCAATCTCTTAGTCAAGATCTTGGGATACCTGGTTATTCGGCCGCACGTACAGAAAATAGCGCAGATGGAAATCGACGGGGTCGAAACCCCGAGCGCCTTCGTCGGCCTGGAGAATAGAGGAAGCATGCCGTACACGGAAGCGATCATTCTCGAAGCGATCAGACTGATCGCCAGCCCGATCGTGCCACATGTCGCCAATCAGGATAGTTCCATAGCCGGTGAGCAATTTTTTTCTCCCTCCTGCTACGTTGTTAAAGCGAATATTATATAAATCTAATCTGCTACGTTGTTAAAGCGAATATTATATAAATCTAATCTTGTTAGTTGTTGCAATTTGCAGAAATTTATAAAACTGCGAGTGAAATAAGCAAATTTTTACAACGACGATTATTGAAGAGAATATTTTGTTGAGCTTACGCAATATTTTTATTTATAATTTAAAAAATAGAATATGACAATTTTGGGAATTTTTTTGTTTTTGTTTTTATTTAAATCTCGATTTTCTATCTTCCAGGTTACAAGATAGAGAAGGACACGTTTATCTTTCTGAACAACTACGATTTGAATATGTCGGAGAGCTTGTGGATCTCGCCTGAAGAATTCATGCCGGAGCGATTTGTGCAAAACGGCAAGCTGCTGAAGCCGGAATACTTCCTGCCGTTCGGGGGTGGCCGAAGATCTTGCATGGGCTACAAAATGGTTCAGTACATCAGCTTCTCGACGATAGCCACCCTGCTGAAGAACTTCAACATATTGCCGGTAGAGAAGGAGATCTACAAGGTCCCGATCGGCAATCTGGCACTTCCGCAGGATACGTTCAGATTCCGTTTTGAGAGACGGTAGAATAGGAAACGCGACAACGAGAAAAAGAATGAATCCGGTCGAATCGGTGAAATCGGCGCGCGATTTCGATCTCTCGTCCACGATTCGACCGCGAGCTGGGCTCCTGAAGCTTTTGCCGATCACGCGGACAACAATCGTTGATTAAAATCGACTCGATTGGACTCGAATGGCAGGCAAGAACTGAAAACAACGATTCGATATTTAATTTATGATAATCGAGCGTAACGACAAAAACGTACTCTCGTACATCGGCGGAGTTTTTTTATTAGCGATACGCGTAACGGAGGACCAGCAGCTAAAAAGAGGCTTTTGACTCCAAGGAAGCTTTACTGGCGTAGGGAGGGTTAGATATGAGAACGAGTGGAGGGTGTCCGATCTCCGGCGCTAACAGAGCTTTACTGACATTATTAGATCGTTAAGGTAGCTAACTGGATCGTTCGACTCATGCCCTAGGCGCGAATACGCGCGGAGCCCAGTTTCGTTAAATTAGTTCTTCGTTTACTTTTTTACTTACTTTACTTATTTTATTTAATTACTTTACATCTTACGGAATATTATTTCCTTCTCTTATTAAATCGAATTGCATTGATTTGATTACAAAAATTATTTTAGAATTAATTAATAGTAACTAATTCGAGAGAATAGCGTTTTTTAATTAACATGTTAATTATAAAATTTAATTTTATATTTATCTATAATTTTATTCTATTTATAAAAAAATTGAAACAGCTACAGCGACAAAAACTATGCAAAACTCCATTCACAATATTCTGAATCAAAAGATAGATTGTGAAGATCGATGATGAACGATAATTGTTTTGAAAGAAACGTCACGCCTCGCCCATGATAGAACGACTGTTTATTTAAACACATAAGATTTCTCATCAGCTGATATATTAATAGAAAGATTATCAATTAAGACGATATAAAGAGTGCTAGGGCTAAGTCCGGACGATTCACATGAAACTTCGGTTTTAATTGATATTTGAAGATAATCGAAGAAGAAGACTGAAGTTAATTAATACTTCCTTCGAATTTAAAAGTGTAATGTACACGAGCTTAATGTTGTCAAATATACATCTTTATGTTTGTATATCTTAAAATCCTTTTATAAAAGTAAATTATGAAAGATTCTTTGCACTTTTTCAATTCGAAGGTTTCAGATTTATTTTTATTAACATAATAAAGAGAAATG